ATTAACTACTTTACTTCCAAGATCGATATTATTAGAGGAAAAATTTTTAACCATGCAGCCGTCAGCTAGTGCGCTATAGATCCCCTGAGGAACAATTCCACTCATTCTCTACTATAGGAGAGGAAGAATTGTATAAACTTGTTAAATCATCTAAACCAACAACATGTATGTTAGACCCTATTCCATCTAAGCTCCTAAAAGCGGTGCTTCCAGAAGTCATGGATCCTCTTCTGGCTATTATTAATTTGTCATTAGGATATGTCTGAGACTGCTCTCATTAGAGTTACAAATTACCTGCTCTTATAATCTGATCGGGGTTGCAGATCTCTATTAGTGCTACTGGATCTTAGTGCTGCGTTTGACACTATCAACCACAACATTCTTTTGTATAGACTAGAAAACTTTGTTGGCATTTTTGGAAGTGCATTAGCATGGTTCAAATCATACTTATCTGACCGCCATCAATTCATAGCAGTGAATGAAGAGGTATCATATCGATCACAAGTGCAGTATGAAGAACCTCAAGGCTCAGTACGAGGGCCATTACTTTTCACACTTTACCCGTTACCCTTGGGAGACATCATCAAGACACACAGTGTTAGCTTTCACTTTTATGCTGATGATACTCGGCTCTATATTTGTGCGGCGCGGTGAAACATACCGAATTGAAAACTGACGGAATGCATAGTCGATATAAAAAAACTGGATGACGAGTAATTTCTTACTGCTAAATTCTGAAAAAAAAAAAAAACAGAGGTGTTAATTATTGGACCTAAAACCGCCGCATGTAATAACCTAGAACACTGGTTCCCAACCCTGGTCCTGGAGGCACCCCCAACACTGCACATTTTGCATGTCTCCTTTTCTCTGACACGCCAATTTCAGGTCTTGAAGTCTCTACTAATGAGCTGATGACCTGAATCAGGTGTGTTTGATTAAGGAGACATGCAAAACGTGCAGTGTTGGGTTGCTTCCAGGACCAGGATTGGGAACCACTGACCTAGAACACTGTCTAACACTTGATGGCTGATCTGTAAATTCTTCGTCATCAGTTAGGAATCTAGGTGTGCTATTTAATTGCAATCTTTCCTTTGAAAGGCACATTTCTAGCATTTTTAAAACTGCATTTTCCATCTAAAAAATATATCTAAATTGCGACCTATGCTCTCAATGTCAAATGC